TGTATTGTGTCTATGTAGGCTATATATATATATATATATATATATATATATCGGCCACTGGTGTATTCAGTAGCTGACTCTCACCAACCCAACTGATCGGATGAGCAATAGGGCAAACACATGTTTAATGGTCGATCAGCTGAACATACAATCTTCTCTGGCAGTACCTCTTTTGAATGTCGAAGGGTGACCCAGTCCCCTTTGCAACGTTTTCGCGAATTCCTCGTCAAGCTGAAAACCAATTAATTTGTCAGCTAATTAGATTATGAAATCCTTGACAGAAGAACTCCGCTAAATTGAGATGCGTCGTGTAATTGTTGGAGACTACAAGCAACCTTCATGAAGGTTTGGAGATACTTTTCGATACGACAAGATACAGAGTCAATGACAGGCCTTCACCATAAACTGGGTAGTCCACTGTGCAACCGCTCTTAGAAGCTTGAACCAGTTCTTAAATTCATTTTTAAATTATTTTTCGCCTGTATTGATCAAGCTCGACAGTTGCACCATCTGGTGTTTATCAGTCGTTCAACGTTGAATGCTATGATGACGATAAATGTGAAACGCCCTTTCACCTGATGGTATTGTGGTCTATGGACCGTGGCTTACGGGTTCAAATAAACATACGCCCTCAGGCTTCACCAGACGTTTTGCTGTGTTACTCTTAGTTTCGGTTAGGTGGGACGTCTTGGGGTTTTCCATAGTGTTTTAAGCTCACTATGTCCATCGCTACGCATAAAACTAGTGCCTTTTGCTACGGCTTTCTAGTGACGGTTGTCAGCATTATCGAGATGAACAACAAACCCGTCTTCAACACAACTGCCTTGTTAGTGAAAGAATTTAACAGTAAAAATACGACTGCGAAACAAAATCTGTACTAGGGCCAAGTTATCACAACATCCATACAGTCTGATAAAGACTCATCGTAAAACCGCCGTTGGGTTGACTGTGAACAACACTCTTCTTAACCGAGCACAAGATGGTCATTCTCTGTATACCCCAATCTTAATTTCACGTGACAAACAACGCTGTTGTTTGCAGACACTGCTACGTCATCATTAGATGTAGAGTAAGTCCCGTAGTAAACCCGGAAACTAGCTGTGCACATTTCGACATCTTGCTGCTCAACACTTTTCTCGAGTCCGAGTTCTTCAAAGACGTATCCAATATTTCTTTCTGTCACAGGTATACGGTTGGCTTCCCGATTTGGCCAACGATACAGTGTTTCCAGAAGCCGCCATCGGGTGTTATGGTCAGGTAAGCGTGCTATCCACGAAATGGATTTCAAACAAGATGTGCAGTTGTAGTTTGGTTATTGAACAGAAACTAGGTCGATGTTTTGACACTGCTTGTCTGTAGTGATACGGTTAACATTGTTTAATTCTGTTCACAGTATGGATGCAACTTCTATCATTGTCTAACATCCGGTTATAATATTTCATACGCAAAACTCAACCTCATAAACAGGATATTATCCCACACAAAATATCACTCGTTCCGAACCAACCTAGGTGTGCAAGTAACCACAAGACTAAGAGTGACTGACTGTTCCATTTCACGGTGATGTCGATATCGAATGAACAATCTAATCCCAAAGGCGTGTTCATGATAAGCCTCAAACAAGAAATTATCATTACAAGGCCCTTGGTCTACCGGCAGAACTTTCTTTTAGTGAACGTTTTTGTGGCGGACACTGGTAATTGCTTTTAAAAGTGCGTCGGGAGATTCACGTTATTACGGAATCTGTAACAGCTGCTCCAGGGAAAGGAGTACTTTACTGCTGCATAAATTCCGATAGTCTGGCGAAAGATGAGTTCACTTCCCAAATTCGGAAGGACGAGGAAGCGTTTGCCAACCTATGACCTTTGTGACACTGACGTGGCATCACCTTGACTGTCAAGGTGTACAATTTCATGGTCCGATCGGTCCTACTTTATGGATCAAAGATGTGGCCGCTGCGTACAAGATACCTCTTAAGGCTCTCTCTGTCTGCCCTTTGGTGCCTCCGTAGCGTTACGCTGGTCTTGTTGGAACACCGAATCACTAGTGCTAAAGTACGCCAGATGGTCTTCGGGAAAGTCCGCTCTCCACCAACAGACCAACTGGTCGCGCTGCACAAGTTACGCTGGTTAGGCTATGTAATATTATACCGGGAGACCGTTTGTTCTGATCAGTACTCTTCGCCCAGCTTGTTCGATGTGTACGACGAATGACGGTCAATCCATGACCGGTAGCAAGCCACAAAGGCCCTTACTGTCTCCCGGAATGGGGACAGTGGGGCTAGACAAACCAGTGGTTAGTGATCCTGACAGATATGATTGTGTCAGGCACCCAATTTGGGTTTTCTACCAAATTTATCACCTTCACTATGTAGGTCTCAATCCCTGTCATACTGGGCAAACAAAAACATTTGGTGTCAATTAACTGATTGGACCATCGCTCCCAACACGCTGTTCTCAGTCCTTTATTTTCCTTATCTCAGTTGTGACAGCTGAAACCACTGGATCTCGGTGAATCGTCTGTGACCTGAAAAAAGGAAAAGAACTGTAATCAACAAAAGCTACCGGTTGTCCAACTTGACGCAGTGTATGAAAGTTTTAGGCTTCAATTAGCAATAAATTCCTTGAATCTAACAAAGAATTATTTGATTTATTTTACCGATCCAAGGCTTCAATACGAAACCACAGTTAGGTGACTGACGGCTAAGTGAATTAGAACTCCTGTGGAGGGGTGAGCTGTGAAGCAGATCAATACTTCCCGGTTGCCCAGGCTGAGAAGGTTGTTTGGTTGATATACCTCATTTTGAGTATTTTTCCCAAGCGCCTAACTCGTAAGGCAGACGGATGATGAAGGGTTTGTGTGTGAACCGTTGTCTCTGACTGGAAAGTGTGAACCTCTGGACAGCAGTTGTCAGAGGTTCTATTAAGGGACTACTTCCGATGCCAGCAACTGGACTGTCTAACTCATTTGGTGGCAGAGGGTTGGCCTGGCCCGAGGATGTCGGAAGTTGGGCATAGATATCTCACTTCGAATACGGCTGAACACGTTAATGCCTTTTTGACAGCACCGGACTCTTGGATTTTAGGATTATTTCGACCGTATTGTGCAATGCGCCGGCGGTCACGACCAGCCGTCGGACGATCGAAGTGTGCGATCTTTTCTAACCCGCCATTTCTCGGAAGCAGGAAGCATCACTACTTCCACCAATATTGAGAGAGTGGTCGCTTGAGGGAAATTCCTAACTGCCTCCACACTTTTATCGCGAAGGAAAGTATGGTCTCATCTTTAGGCCGCCTCATAATACGATTTTTTTTGTCATAATACGTTTTTTGCAGCAACGGAACTCGTCTTCTTCATCGGGCTACTCTCTTTCGGATTTTTTGGCATAGCTGTACCTCAAGGAACTGAGTTTTAGCCAGTGTGACCCGAAGGAATATTGCCGCATTGAGACCCAACGACCACGGCAAGACAACAGCTTTAGGTTGGTAGGAGTACGGTTGAATCAAAGACAACCTCTCTTCACTCTAGCATTGATATAGAACTCGGTAGCTATGGCTGGGCGTATGCATGCGCAGCCTCTTCTCCCAGGGCTACAAGCATTGACGAATTCGTCCAGACGGCCAGTGTGACTTCAGAGGATTCAAGTTGTTCTCCTATTGAATAAATCATCAAGCAGCGTGGTGGCTCTGTTCACGGAATTCCATTCTTGTGGCAACCATCAATTTCAAATCCCACGTCGTTCCACGGGAAGTCTTTCTTCCGCATGTCAGACCTGAGTCGGCTGGTTAATTTGCAACACAAAACCCTGTCTAAAGTGAGAAGTATGTGATCCAGTGGTAGTTTTCGGCGTCTTCCGCCGACTTTTTCTTTATACAAGGGAGTTATATCACCTCGTTGGAAATCTTGCCGGACGTTCTCCGCCCATCAGATTGCATAGTGAATGAAGAAACGCATTTTATACTATCTTTTAACTTCGCTTAAACAGGTTTCTGTGTAAGCCCTCCCGTTTCGCTGTTCCTTCATGTTAAGGGTGGTTTGTGGTTTTCTGTATTATCGCCAACGTAGGTATACCGAACAGATGCATTTTCATTGCTTTCTGAGTAATCTGGGTTATATATCTGTCGGGACGTAGAATTTGAGAACCCGGGTGTGGTAAGCTCTTGGTCATTTTGGTTCATATTTAATAAACTCAAGGTAATTAGTGGATTTCCTTATACCATAGATTTCCTCCAAATCGGCGGGAAATCCATTGCGGTAACAACGATCTGCGTGTTGTTTGAGTTGTTTGCTTCGTTTGATCCACTATTCATTCAATTTCCTTAGGTGTTGAAGAAGCTTCGCCTGGTCGTTCTACTCTAGTTTATTTTTGCAAGTACTAAACTGCACTCTTCAATCGGCTGAGGGCATTTGTTACGCGATCTCACTTCTGGTATTGCTCTGTTCTAATGGTATTCAAGATACATGTCCAAATATTTGTTCATGTTTGACATCACTGAGTTTCACGTGTGCTTGAGAGCTGAGTGTTCCCTACAAGAGTTATGCTAAATTCCTATACATTTTCCTGAATCTTCAATCTTTTACATCCACCCTTATTGATTCTGCGCTTGGTGTATGCCGTAGCGGTTCTTCAAGTTCGATACGTAATTTACTGCACGCCAGCGCGTCGTCCGTGTTACAATCAACTCCACACATCACGGTTATGGTCAGTGATTAGTGCGGTCTTTCTGCCGAGCGATCATACGGTAGCTAATGTGCCGTGTCCAATCCTCATCCCTTCTCTTTCCAACGATTTTTGCCAGTTTCAATCTCACAGTTTCAAGCACCTTCTTAGTCGGTAAAAGAGGTACGAACCATTGCTTGCTAGGTTCGAGGAAACCATATCCATCTCGTCACTGTAGACACGAGCTGCACATGCTGACACCTCTGAGTAATTTCATTTGGAACATAAGCCAATGCAGTTAGGTTTCACCCTGTGTCCTCATGTTCATATGTGTGTTAAATTGAGTGGTCTCTATTGTGTTGCGATTTATGAAGATCTAAAAATTCTGATGTGTGGTGAAAAACCGGGAGGCACTCAGTGCGAGTCGGTCACACCACTTATCAGCCGTTCGTGGCTGAACAGTTTAATCTTCACCCACCAACTGGGAGGTTGTGAGTTCAAATCCTCTGAAGGGTCAGGAGGTGTGTATTGCTGGTGGAACATCTATACAATGTTTTTCGGTCTTTTGGCACAGACTGGCTCTACTTACAGGGTGAAATCTCAAACGTGGGCTATAACTGTTTATCAGATTTAACTATCTTGGTACATAGTTGAATTGGCTTGACGCTTAGCCCATAGATATTTTCTATTACTGGTTTTCACCATCGTTCGATGCTTCAAGTTGCGTTGCGCTTCTGTTGGTGGACTGGATCCTTGGAGGTTTGCAAGTACAGGCTGAGACCAGTTCTCTTACAACACACTGTGTGTTCGGAGCTGGAGATGCCATAGTGTGGCTTGGAAAGCTGAATATTTAACTCCATTCGACGAGCTGATTATTTGTTTCATATTTCCTGATGCCACTGGTGTAATCCACGCCTCTGGAATGGCGAACGATTAGGTGGGATGATCTCTCAACGTGTTTGTCCATGTGGTGCTGTGTTTCTCTTTGGAGTGTAATTTTGTGCAAGTGAAGGAAATTTAATGAATTGTGCTCAATCTGGTCGGGCAGCCACTGTTAGCGTTCAAATTACACTTATACTGGCGCTTTAGAACACCCGTTTACAGGGACTCATCTCGACTAGCTGGTCTAATAAATTTTCTCAGTGAGAGGAGCTTACCACGGGCGAAAATCTCCGGTGGATATCCACTGAGTTCTGCTTCTTTCGGTGTGACAGTCCTCTTGATAATCTGTGATTTCTTTCTTCCAACTTGATTTACGACTTGTCTTTGGAAAAATATCTCTCCCTAACATAAGGCTCCCTTTTCAACATATGTTGTAAAAGGGGATCTATGCTTGCCTTAAGAATAGATCCACACATTCACCGGTGAGATAGGAAATATATACCTCTGCATATCATGCACTGAGGTGTAATAGGTTGTCTTAAGAATACATATAATAACGAACTCCATTACTCCCAAGTGTTCAACCACCGGAGAGATACAGTTTGCCATGACTTACAGTAAGAAGAGTTGCATCATTCCTGGAGTCATGTTAGGCTTATTCCGCTATTCGCTGTATGTTCGATTTTCCGACAACCTGTTATTTACGGCTGATAAGACAGCCCACAGTCTGAATGTATTAATTGGTCGTTTCGATTCGGCCTTATCTTCATTGTGTTTTGTATAACAATGTACTCATTTCATCGCCTGGTCGATATCGGCCACACGAGAATGGCATGAAAAAAACGAACCCGATCAATCGATCGCATGTGACCTCTTTAACCATGTGTGCACGTGTTGCCATTTGACTTGTCAACAGCGGTTCCACTGACGTCAATTGAATGACATTTTTTGACACACTGTGCAAGCGCGGTTTTTGCCCGCTTGGTTGTTTTTTTTTTGTGTGGATCACAGTGCGTTTAAGCAACAGAATGGTCAAAATGGATCCGCAGTTTGTTTCGTTTGAATAGCTTTTACCAAAGGTCGCACACCCAGTTTGTTTAAATATGCCATGCCCTTAGATATTTAATCATTTTCTGTTTTATATGTTACGCACAACCTGCTCCAGGGATGGTAGAACTGGAAGCTTGCCTAGTACTCACTATTAGGTCTCACTGCTTTGTTCATAGACCCCACGCTCGTTCCAGTTAGGAATTATTAAGTTCTTGTTGTGATGTACATGGCGTTTTCCATTCATCCTGTTGGTTCACTCGTAAAGAGAACGATTCAGAGATTTTTGTGGCAGAACCGATGGTCGCCTTCATGAACTGGAATTTTCGGCAAGCTATCTGTAGCCTATATGTGGTGTAACTGATGAAACCAAGCTTTTTGCAACGGTCACCTAATTGCGGTCGCTTTATTTTCCAGAAGTCACATGAAAAATGACACTTTTTTCCTGATTTTATACTCTGGTGATGCCACTTATCCGAAGGTGTATGGGCATATTATTGATCGTAAGACCTTTGTTAATGATGAGACTTGTAGTAACTTTTATAACAAGACTAACTCAGCTGTGCTAGAGTATATCAGGTATTCGTTTTCAGTATCAGCCAAATTCGCATTTTTGTGCATTATTGATCGTGGCACATCCGTTCGCCGGCATTTTGGTACTGTTTGCTAAATCCGTCAACCGCTCCCCATTGATCGTTGTTTGATACACTAACACCAGCGTTTCACTGCATGTTTGTTTGAAGCCTCAGGTACTCAGAACAGAGCCGGAATACAGTAGGGTCTGTTGCTAGCGTACCTCGACCAGTTGTCGTGCCCACGACCATAACACTTGGTCACTCAGCTGGGATGGAAGCTGACGCTACTATCATGAATTACAGGAGTGTATTGCAACGTTTCCAGTTAGATATAAGGACTCCATCTTCAAAGACGAGTCATACCCACATGTCTCGAATTTTTGTCAATATCTTCCTTGACATACTGCATGCAGAATTCAGAGTTGTGTCACCACCAAGTTGAACGATCATAGAATTTACGGAATAAAATCCAAGTGAGCGCCAGGATTTTTGGTCGGAATTTAGGACAGTGACCTAATAATTGTCTTTGAAATTGACCAGAGACGCCGCAGGAGCTCGTCCCTCTCCAAGTCAATAAACATGTTTCCGCCGGTTTCCCCGTACAGTGCCTGAAGTAGCAGACCGTTTGAATTATACACGCTGAAAGCGCACAAGGTTTATTCCCTTACAGCTTTCGTCTTCGTTTCGGTACTTGAGCTTTGTGTCCACAGGTTCTTATGGTGCACATGTCGGCGTATTAAAAAGCGACACAGTGTTAAGTGCTTGGTGGGGTTGTCAGCGCTGGAGTAGGAAGATCCGAACTACTGTTACTTGAATTTGCTTTTTAGATAACTAGGTAAGAATGCGCTCGAACAGTGCTACTTAGGTTACTCCTTTCGACGACCCGAACTTCGGGTTGAAGGCATGTTTAAGTTTCGGGTAAAATCGGAAAGCACTTGAAAAAATGTTTGAGGATAAATTGCATTCCTTTGGTGCGGCTTGCTATATCTGACTTATACTATCCTTGGATTGTAGGCACGAAGGATTAACCTGGTAAACACACCTTTAAAAGAGGTAATGGGTTTCCCTGTCTAGATTTTATCATTCAGTTCTTTTCCTGCCTTCCAAATGGTGCAGAGAACGGTGTACGTCTTCAATCAATTGGAAAAAGTTTGAACCCGAATGGGAAGTCTTTGTTTCAGAAGAGCTTGGTAAACAATTGGTAGCTTTTATTTGGGCAACCCTTCGCTTTTGACACAAAAGCTTCATCAGGCCAAGTGAGCAGGTCACCAAATTGGCCAGGTTATAAGACAGACGGGGAACCAATCAGTAAGTCCTATACAAACCAGATCAGTGTTGCGTGTCAATTAGTGGCTCTTGTCGGCTAGTGTGGGCGCCAAAATCTTGAATTGATTGGTTGGAGGGGTTCCAAATTAGTCCCCGATCGCTTTTCGTTCCTTAATCTTCCACTTCAAGGTGCTTCATTTGATGATTCACCTCGGGTGCCACTGTTGGATTTTCCTTGGTCTTTGTGGGGTTGTGAGTGCTCCGACAATTTAGTTTGAGGGAGGCTGAGGTCAAGTGGATTTCAGATGATGACCACTCTTCCTTCTGATTACCGCACACCAAAACGTGTCAGCTCGAGTGACCCAAGACCGTTCTCCCCATGCTAGCCAGTTCCACGCCTTCCATTCTGTTAACACTGGGAAGCTTGGCGATTTCTACCGCCCCGGTGATCAGTCTGTGTGACGTGAACCGTAGTCCTCGCCTCAAAACCTCAACAGCTTGTGACTTCAGGTTGCAGCGTCGACCATGTTGCCTGTTTCAGACGAATGATTAGCAACGATTCTCTTCGGTTCTTTTATGGCAATATGTGACGCCTTTCTCACATATTGTTTTGACCTGTACAACGACAGGTTTAGTTGTCTTTACACCGGTCGGAAACAACGTAACATCGGGTTACTGATTACTTAACGGTGTGAATTTATTTTATTCACTGAGTTCTCGTTCCCCAAGAATTGCAGTGTTGTTGAGCACTATGAATTCTTGAATGTCAACAAATCATTGCGAACACTTTGCATAAGAAGGGGGTTATTTCATATACGTTGTGACTCGTCAGCTACCCGCAACGAGTGTGTATCCCACCCACATGCAATCAGCAGCCTTCTCCAGAAGTATGTTTTTCAGGTATTGATTATTTTCTCTAAAGACCTCCATCATTGCTCCGCCTTTCAGAACGACATTGCCAAATTCCAACTGGGCGATCCGGAATACTTTCCCCAATTAGTTACTCCAAGTGGAGAAAAATAGTAAGTTAACGCCACGAATTATGTCCGTTTTTTCCTTTGGAGACCATTTTTAAACTCAGCATAGTCTGTACTAGTTTCATAGACTACTTTGCATTTATTATACATGTCTTCTTACAGTTCGTATTTCTCAGAGGTTGGAAGGTGATCGTGTGAGTAGTCCTCAAAATCTGCAGTCTTGGTCAAGCTTCTGCCGCCAGAAGCTTTCTGCTTTGCGAACCTTAAGGTTTTACAATAAAGCCATAAAAACCACTTTCGCGCAATCGAAATCCATCAACGCACCAGTTTACCCAAACACTCACCCTCATTCTGACTCTAACAGACAACCGAAGCCAGACTTAACCCATTGGTCTAGACAGTTCCTCACTGTGTTGGGGGATCCTTAGGTTATTTGCCTTTAATCCTTTTGCGAGTCATATATTGTTTACCTCAATCCCCTTCCCTTTGCAGTGCTAAGATCCCATCTACCTACTTTCCGTTCATTGGACAAGCGGGCTATCAGGCTCCCCTGGCTGCCGTACGGTTCCCCAACATAATGAAGAACACCGTTGTGTTAGTCGAGTGCAAAGTCTATGGCCTGGCGGGTGTGGACTCTGAAGTGATGTTTGAAATAGCTGTTGATGGGCGAAAGTCGTTAGTCTAAAGCCAATCCTCTGAATGATCGTGGCCTTTTTCAGTTCCTCAATGTGATTCGCCTCCCCACACTTGAGCCAGTTTGTGCGGATTACTACCAGCTATATAGTTTTACAGTCAAAATTTCAGATAAACAACCATTTTTTAATCATCACTTGTGAAGCTACTCAGATTACTCATGGGCTCAGTCAATACATCCGTACACTTTCCCGATAGCTGTTTCGCAACTTTCATGAATCTTCCATAGTTCCAGTTCGGAATACACCTCGTTTTTCTCTATTTCTAATGTAAGGCACCAATAAACTCCTATTTTAATACCATTGTCTTGATGAGATTTGCTTCAGTTAACGACTACACAAACAGGGGGGTCGATTCACCTGTAAGCCATTACAGCAAGAAGTTATCCATTTACATGGTATCAAGCACTAATTTGGACAACTCAAACGTGGCGCAGTGGAAATTCGGGTGAGAGTGAGAAATGAATTATGGTGTCCAGTGTTTTGCTGAGTACACAAAATTAACTGAAATTTCTGAGTTCTTTGCCAATCTACAAATTGATGAGGGCTGTCCATGCTCCTGGTTAATTTATCACCATCTTGTTGAGGTGTTGTTACACCGATTTCTTCATGATTTTGAGTTCTGCTTCACTGAATGGGAAGATCAGAAACGAAACCTTGTCCACTTTCGGTCCTACTATTTTGCATGTAGTACCCATGTTTGTAATATTGCTTAAAACAAACTGGCCGCTTCGTCGCCTGGCTCACTTAATGCCGCATCATGATTGGCGTTGCCATAGGATGTTGTTCTGCGTTGTTCTGTGCCGTCACTCGAAGAGACGGAGAGATAACATGCCGAGAAGGAGCCTCCTGAGACTATATCACTGCGATGCCTCTTCATAACACGATCGCTGACACCGCCTGTGATGATCATTGAGGCGCTTAACTTAACTGTTTGATTTAAATACCCGAGAAAAAGTTCGCCGACCGTCAGTTTCCAAAGCAGTAGTTATAGCATTTGCAACTTAGATTCTGGTCTGACTCGAGCCTACAAGTGACATTTTCACCGACGAGTACTGCCCGATTGCTTCCATACTGCTGAACTTGCAAGGTAACTTCAGTAAATTCTTCTAAACCCACCGATTCAGTCGAATGATACCACATTTGAAATTTATTGCTTACTCAAATCTGGCTGTACGATTCTAGATTCACATATCTTTCGTTTCAACAGCCCTCCTATCCTGAAGCATTTATCTTGTTGAATCCGAATCAATGAATGGAAGCACTGGCTACGAGTTTTCCTCTTATCAGAGCTGATTAGATGTCCTTGGTTGCGCCAGGATTATGATTCCGGATGTCTGGTATGCGAAGCTAGTGTTAACGCCGCTTAATGAGCACATTCTGGAAGCGCCTGAATTATCACATTAAACAGAGAATTCAGTTGTTATTGTACCTGGGATGACAGCTACATCTTTCGGTTGGTTCTTTACTAAGACCGCTCACATATAGTTGTCAGCGTCACGGTGATTGTATGGTCTATCCTAACTGACTAACGTCGAGAGTATAGTCACACACGGAAGTCGCTTTCATTCTCTCTTCATCAAAACTGTCCACTCTGCTTGCGAATTCCCCTACCGTACGACAATTAAGTATGAATGACCACATCTGTCTGTAGTAACGATGTGGATGATGAAACGACATCATATTTCAATACGTTCGAAAAGATATTCTTGAACCTCCTTTTCAAGAGGTTTGATGAATGGCCTTAGGTTACCATGTTGTTCACATTTTTTTACTTGTCCACTTCATTGAAAACCCTCACTCTATTAAGGTTTGAAGCACAATTCACTGATTCCTTGAGTTTTAGCAGGATTGTCTTGCGCCACTTTGTGGAATGCTTCTCTTTGCCTTCAGTCAATCAGATCGAAGAAGTTCCTGCGCAGTATTTAGCGACACCTTGCAAAAAGTGACTCACCATGATGGCCTCTTTTTTCACAAGCAACTCTTAAATTACGTCAGAAATGCATTGTAATCCTACACTCGTATCACAGACTGAGTTGCTTTCTAACACAAGGATATGGTTCACATGGTTCCTTTCAAAAACCAGCTTAGTCATACGCATAGATGGTCAACATTCCTATCTCTATGCAGTCCGTAGGCTAAACGAGTAAAGAAAGACGAATCGGGATTTCGATGGTGGAGATAGGTAACCCAGAAGAACAGGCTGAATAATGTGACTACTGTGCAGTGTGATCGAATCCCCCACAAAAGAGGAACCAAAGTAAGGACTCTGATATCAGTTCATTTTTTCACAGGAACTACTCGTTACGCTGTTTTTGTGTTTTGTTCGTCGGTTTTCTACCATGAAACTCAACAGGGGAAATGAAAGCTACACTCCCCTTGGACTGACTATTGTTTTGAAACCATTTAACTATATGAAACTGCTAAGTGTGCATTACTTCCTTGTGATAATTATATATTATCCGTTAGCAAATACAGGATGTTGCAACGAAATCAAAATAGAACGTTTCACACTCCTGGCACTGTAAGGTAACTATTGTCTTCGGCGCCCCCGAAGCGATCTGACCTTAGAGTCAAAACCAGTGTTTAGCTTGCCTAAATATCTTTTTTGAGCATTGATTTTTCAGGGTGTTTATGTTTTTTACCAAAATTTTTCACGTGATCCAGCTGCAATGATGAGGAAAATTACACATTGATTTTCTCTAGTCGTGGTTGAAACGTAAAGGAATAATCCTGCCATAATATAATATCAGCCACCTAGATTACACAGTAGTATGTACTCCAACAAAAAACGGCAGCTGAGTACTCTGATGTGAAGCACTTGAAATTGGAATGGTCTCAGTACCTCATTTTTTGTACAGCCCCACTATTCGGATTCGCAATCCTACTCTTGCTGGGGCTAATGTGAAGAAGGATCTTCAAAAGGCAGGACAGTCGGTTTCGTTGAGGGTAATTTTTCAGTGAAAGTTTTCCACTTCAAAATATTATTTATTATATTATTATTATATTATTATTATGTTTTTACCGGGTCAAACTGATGCTCTTGGGGTTGGTAAAACTCCTCAAAAGTTGTTCGGAAAGTATCTAGCTACATCCTCATTCTTAAAATTTTACATTCGTATTATCCACCAGTGTGCCATGCAATGCTGGCGTCAACAAGCAGTCTATGTACGACAGTGATACTGCTAATAAAGACAATAACGGTAGTAAGCCGATAGTTGATTTCAGAGGGAAACATCAACATCATACATTCTTGCCGGATACCGTATTACTGCCATCTGTGCTGACCCATCATTGTAACCTTACGTGAAGAAATCCAACCTGAAACCGATCCACATGAGTTAGGCTGATATTACCGAATCCTCAGTTTCTGGATGTTTCTCTGTCCCTGTGCATGGAATTAACTGATCAAAGTTTCTTGTCGCTGTAGATGAGTTGGAAAGCCTTCCAAATCAATCATTTTTCACCTGGTCACAACGGTTTCTCTGTCCTGCTTTGCTCAACTAATGAAATAGTCTGCATTATGTGCATATTGTCCTACAACTCAATGATCTCATTAAAAGGCTGTAAATACTGAAATAAAATAGCCAGTTTGTCAAAAAGCTCCAGTGAAATGCTGACTCCATCTCGTCAGCCGTCATACCCAACTGAATGAAGATAATGTGGAGTGAAATTTCACACATAACGGCATGGCATTGTGCTTAATCGATCCGATAAATTCCGCTTTATGGAATATTCCTCTACAGAGTTTTGTGTGCAGACAGGTTGTCATGACCTTGACCTTGGACATTTCACTGCATGCGTGCTTTTGGTTGGATATATAATTTTCTTTCTGGTTTTCGTATTGTATGTTATGGCTACAACTGGTAGTCTAGTAGAGTCGCGTTTCAAAACAAAAAACGGCAGCTGAGTACTCTGATGTGAAGCACTTGAAATTGGAATGGTCTCAGTACCTCATTTTTTGTACAGCCCCACTATTCGGATTCGCAATCCTACTCTTGCTGGGGCTAATGTGAAGAAGGATCTTCAAAAGGCAGGACAGTCGGTTTCGTTGAGGGTAATTTTTCAGTGAAAGTTTTCCACTTCAAACTATTATTTATTATATTATTATTATATTATTATTATGTTTTTACCGGGTCAAACTGATACTCTTGGGGTTGGTAAAACTCCTCAAAAGTTGTTCGGAAAGTATCTAGCTACATCCTCATTCTTAGAATTTTACATTCGTATTATCCACCAGTGTGCCATGCAATGCTGGCGTCAACAAGCAGTCTATGTACGACAGTGATACTGCTAATAAAGACAATAACGGTAGTAAGCCGATAGTTGATTTCAGAGGGAAACATCAACATCATACATTCTTGCCGGATACCGTATTACTGCCATCTGTGCTGACCCATCATTGTAACCTTACGTGAAGAAATCCAACCTGAAACCGATCCACATGAGTTAGGCTGATATTACCGAATCCTCAGTTTCTGGATGTTTCTCTGTCCCTGTGCATGGAATTAACTGATCAAAGTTTCTTGTCGCTGTAGATGAGTTGGAAAGCCTTCCAAATCAATCATTTTTCACCTGGTCACAACGGTTTCTCTGTCCTGCTTTGCTCAACTAATGAAATAGTCTGCATTATGTGCATATTGTCCTACAACTCAATGATCTCATTAAAAGGCTGTAAATACTGAAATAAAATAGCCAGTTTGTCAAAAAGCTCCAGTGAAATGCTGACTCCATCTCGTCAGCCGTCATACCCAACTGAATGAAGATAATGTGGAGTGAAATTTCACACATAACGGCATGGCATTGTGCTTAATCGATCCGATAAATTCCGCTTTATGGAATATTCCTCTACAGAGTTTTGTGTGCAGACAGGTTGTCATGACCTTGACCTTGGACATTTCACTGCATGCGTGCTTTTGGTTGGATATATAATTTTCTTTCTGGTTTTCGTATTGTATGTTATGGCTACAACTGGTAGTCTAGTAGAGTCGCGTTTCAAACTTCGTAGGAGATGAAGCCGAATGAAACGAAGTGACATGTAGTCCCGTGCCATTCACGGATTTTCGTCAGCACATTATTCGGTTCGGTTACTGGAGCTGAATTTCAAGTGTGTGCTGGTCAGACTGCAAGATACCGTAATGCGTTCAGTCGAGTGACTTGCCCTTATCAATCCAGTAGCCCTTGTTTTATTCACAACCACATACTTATCACAGTGAGAACGTGTAAAAAAAAGTTACGGCAACGGGTACCCTAAAATCCAAAGTAATTCCATTCTATATTTGATAAGAGT